AGCAAAATTCAGGGAGATTGCCGAAGCCTATGAAACACTGTCAGATGCTAATAGGCGAAAAGAGTATGACTCTCTTGGACACAGTGCTTTCACTAATGGCAAAGGACAAAGAGGTAGTGGACGTCCATTCGAGCAGTCATTTAACTTCAATTTCGATGACACTCGGTCTAAGAAGCACTTTGAAAATCACTTCCAGACACGCCAGGATGGCTCTAGTAGACAGAGGCATCGCTTCCAGGAGTTTTTTTTCGGAGGGGGACTATTTGATGACGTGTTTGAAGACATGGAGAAGATATTCTCTTTCAGTGGCTTTGACCCCACTGGCCGGTACCCTGAGAATAGATTCCATGGATCTAGCAAGCATTGCAGGACTGTCACTCAGCGCAGAGGAAACATGGCCACTACATACACTGACTGTTCAGGACAGTAGTTCATGTTCTTTGTTCTCACAAAGCCCAGCTAGTTGACTGTTCTTCAATATCTATGATGCAAAACAGTTTTCTGTGAACTGTTTTGACAAGTGCATGATTTCACTTAACTTGATACAGCTGTTAAATATATTTAAATTGTTTTTGACAAATTAACGTTCAGTTAGTAGGGAAATTGTTAATTATTAGTTTCTCTGATTACTAAAGGGTCTTGAAAAAGAAAACAGAGATGTAATTTTGCCTGGTCTTTTTTCTCCACCTGTGGCCAGTTTTATTACCAGGAAAGGACTGAGTTTGCCTGATTTATATTTAAAGGTTAAACTCTTGCCGAAACCGGTTTGGCTCAGTGGATAGAGCGTCGGCCTGCGGACTGAAAGGTCCCAGGTTTGATTCTGGTCAAGGGCATGTACCTGGGTTGCGGGCACATCCCCAGTAGAAGATGTGCAGGAGGCAGCTGGTCGATGTTTCTCTCTCATCGATGTTTCTAACTCTCTATCTCTCTCCCTTCCTCTCTGTAAAAAATCAATAAAATATATTTTTTTAAAAAAAGGTTAAACTCTTAAATTTATTTTAACCAAACCACCGACTTGGGGACAGCTGAAATCCCTTGACTGAAGAGGCCAGCAACCTTCTACAGGAACAAGGCTCCTTTGTGCACTCCATCCACTATGTTTCTAGCTATGCTCACTATCATTGCTTGTCAGTCTTCTTCCGAGTCTTAAACAACCCAATCTGAGAGGTGGCCGTTGATTTACATGCGCTATCATTTAAAAAATAAAAAAGGGGGAATTTGCCGGAAGCCAGTCCATCCTTGCTGCTTGACACAGTCACTGCAGGGAAGAAACATCTGCACAGCATATGTTTCAAGGGACCTGGTGTATATGGCATACTGTTCTTAATATGTTTGCTCACCTTCTTGGTGCTATGTGTTTTAACCTAGGTCACCTCTCCGAGAAAGGTTGTTTCCCCAGGTAGGAATTTTTCCCTGAAGTTAGGGAGGGAATAAAACCCCTTAACTAAATGCCAGGTGGGTAGTTAATCACTTTAACTACGAACAATCACCCTTATGCTACATAATCCTTACCTCCTGGAATGGAGATAAGAAATGCCCTAACCTTTGGAATAGAAATTGACAGGATTAAAATCAACTGGTATAAATACAGATGTAACAAGACAATAAAAGACAGAACTTGGCTGGAGATCCTGGCTAGAAATCCTGGCTAGGCTGCTGGTCAACTGAACGCTGTCTCCATGTCATTCCTTCTTCGCCGACTCCGTCCACACCTTTGGGGACCCCTGGACCTGCTGGGGTTGGACCCCAACAACATTTCTACTCAATATTTAATTGATTATATCCAGACATAACTTCTGAATGCACACTGTGTATAATGTTGCTGTTAAAATTCTCAATGCATGATTCACAGGGAGATAAGAGCACTATTCTCTGTATTTGGGGACCCAGTGGTTTGTCCAACTGTGCATAACAGATACTCTGCTGCTGGGGAGAGAGGTAAAATGTAGACTGTACTGGTTGCTGTTTTGAAATACTTCAATCATTAAATTTATCATTTTCATTTTCTATGAAGTTAGCAGTCAAATACAGGAAAGACAATGGGTAACAAATGCCATTAAAAAGGTCCCGTTGCATTTTCATAAATTTTTCAAATGAGCTAATCAGGAGTTGTAATAAGGCTGCTTGCTTTTTAATCTTTGGGCTATTTAACTGTCAGGAACAGTTTAAAAGTGCTAATCCAGTACTAAGAAATTAAGCTGGATTTTCTTAGCTAGTAGTTTATACTAACACTTAACATTTTATATCCATTTCCTTCTGAAAATGTTTTTTTTTTTCACCTCCATTGAGGACTCTGACCCCTGAAAGAACTAACTCTGTGTAATTCAAATGGTGATATAAGTGGGATAAACTCTAACGCATATGGTTTAAAACAACAGGGGAAAAATAAAGACAGTAATGAGCACGAGAGCCTCCAAATTTGGGTGCAGGGAGTACAGGTAGCATGAAAGGAAAAACATCCGTCAGGGTGTTGGGCGACAGGAATCCAGACTCATCTTCTCTCTTCACTGGACATGAGACCTTAGGCCACCTAGCAACCCTTTCTGAGTCTCAGTTTACAACACTGAAAGTGGAGTCAGTAGCCTGAACTTATGAAATAAAAAATCAATCCGCTCTCCTACAATTTGCTCTTACACTTCGAGTCATTCTTTATCAAGTATTTTTGTCATGTGTCCAGCTGAGACACAGTGCCCATGAGGGAATTCACACCTGCAGCTTTGCTAAATGGCAGAGGAGATCTCATAAATGTACCTCTTTTAGATATAATCACCTGATTTGGGAAGAGTGATGATAAGACATCTCTTCTCCTGAAGAGAATCAAGAGCTGAGTGGGGGCAGTAGTAACTGCTGCCATGTCATTGGCTACTCAAAGCACAGCATTCAAATATTTTGCTTCTGGCTACATCCACTGAAGATAAATGAAAGTCCATCATTTCTGATTGGACTTGGTCGTCAGCAGTACAAATGCATCAGAACGCTACTAACTTCTTTATGCAACGGACTGTGCAGAAGATAGCTTTTCTGAAAGATAGCTTGACTTTGGAAAGATTATAATTTGAGTTCCCTAAATTGAAATAATATAGCTATGCATAGAATGTACTATCTTTGAGCTTAATAACTTTTCTTCATTTATTGTAAACTATTACATATAGAAAAATGAATAAAATACATGTGGCTGAATAACTATAAAGTGAAAACCCAAGAAACAAACATTCAGAGCCAGAAATAAGACTTTTCCAGCACCTCAGAATGATAATATCAATCTACTAAAATTGTTTTGATATTGAATACCATGATTACAAGACCGTTTATAATAAGCATGCAATGAGGGCATTTTTGTTCAAACACCTTAGTCTTACTGGGTTATGCACTACTACTGTCCACCTCTCTTAGGGTTTCCTCATTATCATGTAGAAGATACCTAGAACATCTTTTAAATTTCCTTTCTATGTGTGGCTCTGCATTAGTCTGATCATGACAGGCATCTAAATGGTAATTTGAATGGTGAAGAGCACTAATGACAAGCACAGTTTCTCTTGATGCAGAAAAAATACAATTTGCATGGGTAATGTGGGTGATCAGAGGATTTGGGTATGAGAGGAGGTCTGTGATAGGAATCCCGTTCATTGAGTATTTCAGGTTCTGCCTCCTTTCACATGGTGGGGTGACACTTTGAAATCATGTGAGACAATGTGATTGGTTTCGAGCAAAGAATTGTAAACAAAACGATTTGTATGACTTGAGGACCAAGCATTTGATTGCTTTTGGGAGTTCTCTTTTCCCCCCTGTTGTAGCTGGTGTTGCGAGAGTTGCTGCTCTGAAGCTTGGTTGGCTGACTGATTACCATGAGCCCTGCATGTGGCATGAGCAGGAAACAAATAGGAGCTGTTTTTGGTAGACAGAATAATGTCTTCCCAAAGATGTCCATGTCCTAATTCCTAGAACCTGTTACTCTACGTAGCTAAAGAGATTTTGCAGATACGGTCAAGTTAAGGACCTTGAGACTGGGTTACATATTATCTTGGATTATCTGGGTTGGCCTTTTGTATTCGCAAGGGTCCTTGAAATGTTAATGGAGCAAAGGTTGGAATGGTGTGATTGCTGGCTTCGAAGCTATAGGATGAGGCCAAGGGATTCAGGTGGCTTCTAGAAACTGGAAAAGGGAAGGAAGTAGATTTTCCCCTTGAGCCTCCAGAAGGAGTTCAGCCCAGTGAAACTCATTGCACACCTCTGACCTCCTGAACTCTAAGATAATAAAACTGTGTTATTTTAAGCCACTAAGTTTGTAGTAATTTGCTAGAGCAGCAATAGAAAATGAATATACTATTTTAAGCCATTTGAGGCTTGAGATTGTTTATTACAGCACCATAACCTAGTCTATCTTGACTGATATAATTCTCCCTTATCTTTTTTTTTTTATGGTCAAAATTAGCATTAAGGAAATGTACTTTAAAATTCAAGTGGTGTTTTCTCACCCAAACAGTGTTTATAATCTTCAAGTTGTCCTCTTCCTATATTTTGGGGGGAGGGATGTGAATCAGAGGATAGATAACATTTTGGATAATTGTCTACATATTTTTTATAGTATATAGGAATATAATCTAAAATGCAATAGAGAACCTGTCTTTAAGAATTGTCAGATGCAGCCTGGCTGTCGTAGTTCAGTGGTTGAGCGTTGGTCAATGAACCAGGTCACAGTTCAATTCCAATCGGGGCACATGCCTGGATTGCGGGTTTGATCCCTAGTGGGGGGTGTGCAGGAGGCAGCCAATCAATCAATAGTTCTCTCTTATCATTGATGTTTTTCTCTATTTTTCCCTCTCACTTCCTGTCTGAAATAAATAAGAATATATTTAAAAAAGAATTGTTAGGTGTTATTTTAGAATGTCTGTTTTGTTCTCACTCTTCTTTGGTTTATGAAATGTAGAATGAATTTTCCTGCCTATGGATAAGATAGAAAGATTTAACCCATAGATACCATGCAGGAGATAAACTAGCAGTCACTTTATTAACAAGTTTATTTGGTGACAGTGTATTCTTCCTTCAAGAAGATAAAAGTGTAAAGTGTCAGATAAGTTGTAATGTTGGGATCAATGTGAAATTCCACAGAAGAGCTCCACTATAGACTGTCACACATAAAAAGGGACTCAAAACTGAGCTATTGTGCAGAGATAAAGATGAAGAAGTATTTTCAGAATGTTTTTCTTATGTGAACTTCAGTGTGGAATCCAGAAGTGACTCCGTTGATGCAGGTGCTAGAAAGATGAAAAGGAAAACAAAAAAGAAAGCATCATTTTCTGAGATTCAAGAATTTCTCTGTAAGTAACCCAAACACAGAGCATAGCTGCAATTATAGCACCTAGAACCAAATCAAATGATGAATATCTTTTGTAATCTTAGGATCTAGGGCATGGATTTTTATGTTTACCTGGCACCTTCATTTATTTTCTTGTTTCTGTTTTTTTTTTAACCTACATACCTCACACATACACGCATGTGTGCTACACATGCGCACACAAGCATATGTGTAGACCCCAATGTGCATATTTGATCATTTCCCAGGTATCTAGGAACACTTATTCAGTCACCCTCCCTGGAAGTGCACAGGGAAAAGAAGGCAGATTTCTCTAAAATGCTCCACGGAATTTCCCTATTATGGGGCTGTTACCTCAAGGAGTGTGGGAGCATTGAGAGTGCCTGTTCTTGCCCTCCACCTCCAGACCCAGGTACAGAACTTCTCTGCTGTCTGGACACTCTCTGGCAGTTTTGAAAGCTTGCCGTCCATATCCATGTCCTACAGTCTCAGCATATCTGGTGGGTGGGGATCTCTTTATCTTGTTTAATACTTGGCAGCTCCAATGTACATCTTGTAAATGAATGTCTTACACTTCCTAGAAGCTTATAGTTGTGGTATAATTTTGTACATCCTTCCTGTAGAGAAATATGTTCATAAAAGGATTGCAGTTAAAATTTCCCGTAAACAATGTTCCTCTTAACTTTCTACATTAACACCCTTCTACACACATACACTGGTTGGAGCATGGAGACTTGGTTTTAGTTTCATTCGTCATTAGTTATTTAACTACTGAGAATTTTCATCTTAAACAGGAAAACTTCCTTATACCTATCTGAGCAAACACAGGGTGCCTCGGCTTCTGCCCCTGTAAACCTCGGATTAATAACAGGAACTGGCGATTGTGGTGAGGCTTAAACAAGTCAACACATGCAAATTATTCAACATACTCACACAAGGAACAGCGCCTGGCACATATTAAGTGCCCAAGAAATGTTACGTATTATTATGAAGAGCTTGTATTAGTGCCTTATTTCCTTTATTATTTTATCTGAACAGCAATATTCTCCACCAGAGAACTTCTTTATATATTATCTTATCTGAATGTATGAGAGATTCAGCATTTAGTGTCTGTGGGGTGCCAGAGATACAAAGAAATATTAAACCCAGTCTCATCTTTAAGAAATTTGCAATCTCGTTCCAGCAGAGTATTTTATCCTGTGGCTTGATTTTAGAGACTGCCTTTCAGGGGAGCTAAATTTAGACTGTTAGCTCTTTTCCAGTCAGGATTCTCTAGCTTGAAAGGAACAGAATCCAACTCAAACTGACTTGAACTACAAAGTGGGTTTGTTAGCTCATGTATGGGGCAATGAAAATAGTGTAGTATTTGGGGGTGGTTGGTCAGGGTCCCCACAGTGTTCACCGAAGGCCCAGATTTTCCCATCTGTTGGCTCCTGTCATCACAGGGATGGTGTCAAACCAAGGCTGCCTACCCACAGGAAGTCCGCTAGCTGGATATAGAGACGCTTCCTTGTTCAGATCCAGGGGAGGAGGAGCTAATTAACAGAAGGTCCCAGTTAACCTCTCTTCATGTGCAGACTAGGGTCAGATGCCCATTCTATTGCCAATCACTGGCAATGAAGATCACTCCTAGACCAATCAGGCCCACCTCTGAAGCTGGGAGTGGGGTAAACAGCCAACAATTCCCAGTCTACCCTTTGAAGGGGGAACCACATCTTCCTTTTCTTTCTGTTCTAATACATTCTGTGCCTGGTACAGAGAAGATGCTTAGTACATACTAATGGAAAGAATGGATAGTAAATAGACCGAACAAAGTATTATTTATTCACCTTACTTAAGCTTCCAGAGTCCTAGAAATGCTTGTCCCAGGAACTAGCACAACCAGTTTTTCCTTGTTTAATGGTCTTCTCTCTTGGTACCCATCACTGAGTAATTATAAGCTGTGATATTTGTCCATTCATTCCCAGGTCTTGGGGCATCTTTTGGCTGGTTGTATCATATGTTGTGGTAGATGAGTCAGTCTTAAGATTTGCGCCCACAGAAATTGGAATTTAAGCTTCCTCTTTATTCTAACTCTGAGGTTAGGGAAGCAGCTGTTGATGGACTAATTAGCATTTTGGTAGGACTAAGGATGATCTCCCCATCCCTTAATTGTTTAATCGGTTATCCCAGGGAGAGTCTGAGAGCATCACTGGACTGTTTTTTTTTTTTCATGCAGAAACTAGACTGGCCTAGTCACCATATGTATCACAATGGTAATCTACACTAATAAAAGAGAAACATGGTAATTGGCGTACGACCGCTACCCTTCCCATTGGCTAATCAGCATATCCTTATGCAAATTAACTGTCAGCCAAGATGGCAGCCAGCAGCCATGCACTGAAGCGAGCAGGGAGGCTTGCTTGCTTCAGTGACTGCGGACTCCAACGTTCCCTGCCTAACTTGCTGGCCTCTCAGCTGCAAGTCTAAGCAACTATATACTATGTTGCAAATAAGAAGCTAAACAAAACCCCAGAAACCAGCCGGACTGAAAGCCAGCCAGACCGCAACATTGTATCGATGTTTTCAGCAGCCGAGGCCTCAGAGCTAAAGCTGGCCCAGAATAAAAAAAAAAAAAAAAAAGAAAAGAAAACAAGGAGCGGTTGGGAGCTTCAGTCACCCGCTTCCGGAAAACAGCCCTCAGCCCCTCACCCAGACTGGCCAGGCACCCCAGTGGGGACCCCCACCCTGATCCAGGACACCCTTCAGGGCAAACCAGCCAGCCCCTACCCATGCACCAGGCCTCTATTCTATATAGTAAAAGGGTAATATGCCTCCCGGCACCGGGATCAGTGGAGCAGCGAGGCTCCCGGCACCGGGATCAGCGTGACAGGGGGCAGCGGCCAAACCCCCTGATCGCCCTGTGGCTCTGTGTGTGACAGGGGGCGGGGCCACAACCTCCCTATCTGCCCTGCTCTGTTCGTGACAGGGGAAGGCGCACCAACCCCCTGATCAGCCCTGCTCTGTGCCTGATAGGGGGGAGCTCCCCAATCCCCTGATTGCCCTGCGGCTCTGTGTTTGACAGGGTGCGGCGCACCAACCCCCTGATCAGCCCTGCTCTGTGTGTGACAGGGTGCGGCGCCCCAACCCCCCCCCCCATGGGCCCTGCTCTGTGTGTGACAGGGTAGAGCCATAACCTCTCCATCGGCCCTACCCTGAGTGTGACAGTGGCGGGGCCCCAACCCCCTGATCGGCCCTGCTCTGTGGGTGATAGAGGGTGGCGCCCCAACCCCCCTCCACGGGCCTTGCTCTGTGTGTGACAGGGTAGAGCCATAACCTCCCCATTGGCCCTGCCCTGAGTGTGACAGGGTGCAGCGCCCCAACCCCCTGATCCGCCCTACTCTGTGAGTGACAGGGGGCGGTGCCCCAACCCCCCAATCGGCCCTACCCTGAGCGTGACTGAGGGTGACATCGCAACCTCCCGATCCTCCCTGCTCTGTGCATGACAGGGGGCGGCGCCCCAACTCCCCAATCGGCCCTGCTCTGAGCCTGACCAGGGGCTGCACTTAGGGATTGGGCCTGCCCTTTGCCACCCGGGAGCAGGCCTAAGCCAGCAGGTTGTTATCTCCCGAGGGGTCCCAGACTGCGAGAGGGCACAGGCCGGGCTGGGGGGCCCCCCTCCCCATCCCCCCGAGTGCACAAATTTTTGTGCACCGGGCCTCTAGTAATAACTATAACAAAAATCAAGTCTGTTATGCCTGGTCTCATGTAAGGATAATATTAGGATGCATGTGACATAGGTATATTTGTTACATCCCTTGAATTAACCCTTTGACCTGCATGCTCAGCATCTGTTTTAGCTCATCTCTAAGGGAGGGTCGATGTCTTAGGGATAGATTTGGGGTAACCAAGTACACACAACCACTGCATAATATTATCACTTGAGCAATTGGGAAGCTAAAAGCAAAACTAGGAACCTCTTTATACCTTGCCATGTCACTACCACACCACTTAGAAATGCTCTTATTGGTAAGATCATCCTGCTTCCTGAGCAAAGATAGAAATCAGGCAGTTGCTTGATGACCTAGGTCCGTGGTCGGCAAACTGCGGCTCTTTGGCCCCTTGAGTGTGGCTCTTCCACAAAATACGTCGCGCGGGCGCGCATGTACAGTGCGATTGAAACTTCATGGCCCATGCGCAGAAGTCGGTATTTTGTGGAAGAGCCACACTCAAGGGGCCAAAGAGCCGTTGTGGCTCGTGAGCCGCAGTTTGCCGAGCTGCAGTTTTCCAACCATTGAGGTTAATCTTGATGTGACCATTTTGGGAAAACAATATTTTTTTCCCAAGGAGGAAAGACTTATTCAAAGTCCTACATTACTTATGGGATAATTTCTCCAGTATCTGTGTTTACCTCTTGAATTTTATTTTCTCCTGCATTCATAAGTCATCAATACCTCTTTTGATGGGCTTATTATTTCTGTAGAAACATAGGTGCCTTTAGTCTGGACACTCTTATGTGTTCTGCCTTCAAATCATTTCAGTTTTCTTCCAGTGACTTTGTACCTGTTAGTGTATACCTTTGCAGATAAAAATCTGGAGAGACTGGATTCTATTGTCTTTGGAAGCTTTAGTTTTTCGCCTGTAAACTGTAGATAATCATGGCAATGGATGTGGTAGTGCTCCACCCAGATTCCCTCTTCAGGGCCTGTGCTCCCTGTAGCAAAAGTTACTGGGAGTGACCTCCACTACAAGGGAATTGCCTCACCCAAACCCCTCACCTTAATGGGAGTTACCCAGCACTAGAGCTTCCTAGGATTGGCTGGGCTCAACTGGGACCAAATTTTGTGACAGACAGATGATCTCTTTGCCCAGTCCTTCATTCTTCATTTCCTTATGGGTATATGTCCCTAAATCATCTCCAGTTCTGTACATAACTTCTTGTCTCAAAGTCTGTTTCTGGAG